GCATAATTCCTTACCACTAAGCCACACCATTAGGTCAGAACCAACTCATAACTGACCCTCCAGCAGCTTTTCAGAGGCAATAAATCACACGGAAGAGATTGCCCATCCCTCTCCTATGTTGCTGGTGGATTCAAACCATGTGCCTTTGGGATTGCAGCACATTTTCTTAACACAAAGTCACCAGAGTTCCTCCTTATACATGCCAATTAGGTTGTCTTTGCTCAGTCCTGAAAGATTGGTGAAGGCCCCTGGGTCTGGCTTTGTGGGGTAGCAGTCCTAAGTCAACTCTTTCTCATGTTGGTTTCTGGTTCTTAGCTGAGTTTGCTGCTGTTCTTGTGTAAATCCCAGTCTGGCTGGTGCAGGCATCTCTTGCCCTGAAGGACGCACACTGCAATTCTCTGCCTTATTTTCCTTGCTGGCAGTGAGACTCACTCATTACTACTGCTAACTACTCAGTTTAAACCTGGTGGAATGGCAAAACTAGCCAATCACTTATGGATAGACTAACTTGTTTACATATTTCTGCCTAGCAATGTGGCAAAGTCAAAGGCAGTGGCCTACCTCGGAAAATAATTTTAAACAACCAACCCTTGACAAGACTTCAGGTATTGGTAGAAATCCTCAATTTCTTCATCTTTGGGTTTAGTGGTTGAAATATGTATTTGAATAGTAGTGTAGAAATTATTGAACAATATCACACACAAGTAAAATTTTGCTGAATATTATAAAAAAATGGCTGGAACACTGCATAGACAAGGAACTTCAAGGAATGAAAGATAGATTCCAAAGAGGCTGTAGAACAAGAAATATCACTGCTGCCATCAGATGGATCTTGGCTGAAAGCAGACATATTTTTTGTGTGTGTTTTATTCACTATGCAAATACATTCAATTGTGTAGATCAGAATAAATGTTGGATAGTATTTGAGACAAATTAGAATTCCCAAACACTTATCTGTGCACGAATGAAACCTATAGACGAACCAAACACCAATCATTCAAACGGAAGAAGGGGATAGTGAGTGAGCGGTTTGAAAGCAAGAACGGTATACATTCGGACTGGATCCTTTTTTTCTTCTTTTTTTTGGTGCCATGACTTGTATAAGATTATATCAGTTCTCCATACTTATTCAATCTGTATGCTGAGCAAATAGTTTGAGAAGGTGGACTATCTGGGAAGAGGAATATGGCATCAAGTTTGGAGAAAGTCATCAACAGCCTGAGTTGTGTCATCTGCATTATAATTATAAAAATAATTATGTAATATATATTGCATTATAATTATAATACTATAATTATAATGCAAATGACACAGAGAAGGACAAAGAGAACTTGAATTGCTTACTGAAGAAGATCAAAGACTATAGCCTAGTATGAATTACACCACAACATCAAGAAAACAAAAGTCTTCACAAGTGGACCAATAGGCAATATCATGATAAATGGAGAAAAGATTTAAGTTACTCATGATAGAGAAATCAAAGGATAGATAGCACTGAAAAAAAATCTGCTGTCAAGTATCCTGGTTGTCTAAAGTTTATAATTCAAAATTAGTTTCCTAGCCAATGATTTACTGTTTATTGTGTGGTGAAATATTTATTGTAGTAAGGAAAGAGGATTAGGATGGGATAGACGGCCCTCCCTACCAGAGGCATTTATAGCTCATGGGACCTCAGTGCAAGCTCTCTCTTTATCATGGGATGCCTGCCTTCAACAGATAGTCTATAACACAAGTCTTTTCAAAACCAGTCTGCATACCTACAGTCACATGAGTCATTCCCCTTATGGGTCTAAGGCTCTGGGAGACCTTCCAGTGAACCACCAAACCCATGGGACATAGAAGAGCTGGGAAACTGAACAAAGGAAGGGCCATTGATTTTGGAATTATGGACTTATACAGCAGGTTAAGCATTTGGGACAATGTTGATGCAACACTTCTTATAACTGGACTGCTGCTAATCTTAGCAGAACAAATTATGAATATGACTGTCATTTGAAAGCACTAAAGAGCAAAAATATTCATTTAAAGGCCTGCCTGATCCAACCTATGGTATTTTTAATTGTTTCATATTCATGTGAAAGTTGAACATTAAGTAAGGAAGCCTGAAGAAAAACTGATGCTTTTGAATTGTGGTCTAAGCAAAGAATATGAAAGCATGGATTACCAAAAGAACAAATAAATCTATCTTGGAGGATATACAACCAGGTTACTCCTTAGAGGCAAGCATGGTGAGACTTCTCACATACTCTGGATATGCCATCTATTGTTGTTAAGTACTGTCAAGTGAAGTACAAATCATAGAGACCCTACAAACAACATATCTGAATCTTATCCTATCCTGTGCCATCCTCTTCATTTCTAGCATACTTGAGCCCACTGATGAAGTCACTGTGTCAATCCATCTCCAGGGGTCTTCCTCTCATTCCACCTTTCCTAGCATGGTATCTCTCTCCAAGGAATAGCCTCTCCTAACAACATGTCCAGAATATATGAGACAAAGTTCCCTCCAAGGAGTACTCTGGTTGCACTTTCTCAAAAACTTATCTATTTATTCTTTCAGCAGTCCATGCGATTAGAAGAGGCCAATCTTTGGGAGCAACCATCGTGCTTTGAAGGGTGGAAGATCAGAGAAAGGGAAGAAGATCTTCAATTAGATGGATTGACATAGTGACTGCAACAATGGGTTTAAACACTTTGGAGATTGTGAGGATAGCAAATGATCAGGCAAGATTTCAATCATAGTACATAGACTTTCTGAAACAGAGCCAACTCGATAGAACTTAACAACAACAAACCTGCCCTTAATAGTCTTTTCACTCATGCTGAGCCATAATGAGAAAGTGAATGAGGCAACATCCACAAATACATGTAGGTTTTACAGAGGATATTTATACATATGTGCTGCAAATATATCCATGAATATAATAGAGTTTACATGGGACAGTTATGAAAATTTCTTAGCCACAACCAAATACCATGAAGGACTGAGTTGTTGAGTTTGGGAGCTCAGGGGCACAGTCTCCAGGAACATTAAGATCAACTGGCATAACATAGTTCACGAAGATAGTGTTCTACATCTTACTTTTATTAGTAGCAAATGGGGCCTTTAAAAGCGTATAAGTACCAAAATCAATCTCCATAATAGCCTATGTGTTTCCTACTGCCAAAGGGGCCCTTTAGAGTAGTGAGAGAAGATCTTCACCCTGAAACCCACAGCG